TATCTTCATGTGCCCTCTAGTCCTCCAGAGCCCATCTCCACACGGCCCCTTGAGCAGGAGAGCCAAGGCTTACTTAGTGTTGGCTTCTGTGAGAGCAAAAATAAGGGAAGCTTCAAGGGTTCTCAAGACGCAGGACCAAACATCAGACACCATCACTTCAGCTGCGTTCTGTTGATCAAAGCAAGTCATAGGCTAGCACAGCTTCAAAAAGAGGGAAATAAACTCCACCTCTTAATGAAGAAATTGCAATCAGCCTGCAAAAAGGCATTTGAGGGCTGTTGCACTCATCTTTGGAAAACACCCAACACACCCACACACTCCTTTATGTGCAACCATCCCTCCAGGTATGTCTGTTGCCAGCCAGACCCTGAACTTGACAGGACTCAACGGAAGAAAGAAACGAGAGTGTCCTGCATGCCAGCTCTCCTCTTGCTTGACTTCAGCCCCATCATAAGCAGACCCCATCAGTGTTTACATCCCTTGAGAAGCATTGTAATTGATCTTTGGATCAATCGCTAAGTATTTGAATCCGCAGCAACAGCCTGCCCATAGTAAGCAGTTCAGCCTGTGCTAGGTTTTTGCCTGCTGCTAAATCAAGCTGAGAGAACCACAGTGAGGCTTTATATTCAAAGAAATGTTCCAAGCCTCAGTCATCAACAGGTTTAAAAGGATACATCTCCTAATCCTTNAAGCATTGTAATTGATCTTTGGATCAATCGCTAAGTATTTGAATCCGCAGCAACAGCCTGCCCATAGTAAGCAGTTCAGCCTGTGCTAGGTTTTTGCCTGCTGCTAAATCAAGCTGAGAGAACCACAGTGAGGCTTTATATTCAAAGAAATGTTCCAAGCCTCAGTCATCAACAGGTTTAAAAGGATACATCTCCTAATCCTTTCCTTTCATCACAGATCTCTCTTTTTTTTTTAAGCCTACCACCCTCCCTTCTATTGAGATTTGCATCTCTTCTACCACAGTCACATGGTTCTGGTGGGGTTCGAAAAGAGCTCAACACGGCTGAGGCAACTTAGCACACAACACCACATTCTTACTTGACTCCACCCTCCCCCACCCCCACTTCCCAGCCCCAACACAGTTGATTGGTCCAGGGACAGCAATCTGACCCAAAGAGTTCTGACCATTACCTTCTGCTGGGATGATTCCTAAAATGTGCTTGGAAATTTCCTCATCTCCATTCCACTGACTATGTCATAAATATGTTAATTTCTTAACAAAGTTTAATGGGATTGCAACCAAAGTTCCACAAAATGCACTGCACTTCTATACAAATTCCCAGTGACTGATATAAATGTCAAGCAAAAGAAAGTAAGAGTCAGAGATAGCTCTACTGGGCTAGCAAAGAAGAATCTAATCCAAGATGGCATGGGTGGGAGATGTTTCTGGAACTGGAGGACCCTCAAGCCTACATGACCCACAGCTGAGTGCTAGAACAGCTTGAAAACATAGTGGCCAGGACAAGATTTGCCCTCTCCTCCATATCTCATCCTCCACCACATCCAAAGTGCTCAATAAATATTTGCTAAAACAGATGATGGATTTAAACCCTCCAAACCAGAGTTCAACAAAGAGAAAGCGAGATATCAGTGCTGTGACGATAAGCATCATAGTGGCCACCATTAGAACTCTCTCTAGCTAGCCACCTCCACCAGTCTCTGCTGATTGCACCAAAGTTGCTGATTGCACTTTGGGGAAGATTCAGGGGACATGGTGGATTGCTGCATGACTGCTGGCTGTTTCTTTCATGTTTTCTGTATTTCCAGAATGTTAAGATGTATGTGGATTGTTCCTAAAAGGGCCTAAATGATTAACAAACAATTCTCAAAGGGCCAAACCTCTTAGAACAAATATTCACATTCCCCCCAAGAATCTACAGACCAAGGACTCAAGGTTCTCTCTGAACCAAAGAACGCCTGGCCTGGGACAGTCCTGATCCCAGCGTCAACAGCAGCTCTCCTCCAGGCCTGGCTTTCCCAGAGCAGCATACATTGTTCTTTGCCACCAAGGATATACAGGGACACAAACTAAAGATAATGATGCTTTATTGGCCCTCAGTCATCTGTCCTTTCCATGTGCCGGAAGGAGTGCCAAGTCCAACTTGTCCAAGCACAAAATAGCATCATTGGCATCATTAGATCAGATATGGAAGCTATCAGTGGCAATTTATTATTGTATAAAAAGTAAACAACATTTGCTGAACACTTAACCATTACTAAGGACCAATGCATTAACAGGATAGACTAAGTTATACCACAGTAACAAATTGTCCCAAAATCTCAGTGGCTTGGCAACAGAGGCTGACCTCTCACATTGCACATCCACCATGGGTTGGCTGGGAACTATGACATATTTGATCACTCAGAAACCCAGAATGATGGAAATTCTACCATCTCAACACAAGGCTTCCACAGTTCCTGTGGCAGCAGTTGACAGGGTGAGGCAGTTATACACCCATTCTTAAAAGCTTCAGGCTGGAAGTCATACGTGCGGCTTCCACTCAAAACACAAGGGCCATGATTACAAGGGGAATGGGGAGTGACAGGGGCAGGGGTGGAGGCAGGTGGATATCCCATGAGCAGTAAGCATTCATGTCAACATACATCATTTCATCGGAGGCTCATGACTTCAGGAAATATATAATTATTCCTTTTTTATGGAGAAGGGGAGAGAGGCACAGAGAGGTTATAAGATTTTCCCCAAGTGTAAAATGTAAGCCCAGAGCAGAGTTGTGAGCCCATCCTGCAGGCTGCAAAACACCCTCAACTGCTTCACTGCATACTCACCACAAAATTCTACAAAATTCCATCCTAGAACAAAACACCATGCTAATTAATGACAGGCCAAGTTATGCAAACACAAAGTGGAGCTCTCCTGATGCTCCACCTCCTCACCCCAAAAAGCCAAGCTAAGCAAATACCTGGATCAAAATTCTCAGGCAGTTTCAGGAAGAGGGAAATGGGTCACCTCATCTGGGTCTGATATCCTGCCTGCAGTCCACCCACATCAAGACAAAAACCTTCTAAAACTTCACCCAAAAACCTGAACAGACTGTCACCTCCTGTCACTGAAAAGTCCACTGGTGACAGCTTTATACAACTCACAGATCCTTCAAAGCAGAAAAGGTAAATGTCATCCATGTACTTGTAGAAAGCGGCCACAGGCAGGTCTGTTAGGAGATGGTTATCACATCCAGATGAGCACCCGAGGTTAGATGCTACCAACAGGCTACTTCTTCCTAGCCTGCGAAACCCAAGTCTAGCACCACCTCCTCCAGGGAAGCCTCCTCTGTCTGCCTTCCCAGGTGAGGCCCTGTCCCTGCGTTCCCATACCACCTCCAGTGTGCACCTGTGGCAGGATTCCCCTTTATCTTCCTGCCTGTTCCCTGGACTCTGAGCCACACAAGCAAACCCTGCATCTGAGCTTGTGTGTATCTGGCACCTAGCACCTATCACATGCGTTCTCAGTCACTAAGTTGTGTCCAACTCTTTGTGACCCTATGGACTGTAGCCCGGCTTCTCTGTCCATGGGATTTTCCAGACAAGAATACTGGAGTGGGTTGCCATTTCCTCCTCTGAGGGACCTTCCTGACCCAGGGATCAAGCCCACATCTTCTGTGCCTCCTGCATTGGCAGGCAGATTCCTTATCACTGAGTCACTGGGAAAGCCCATAGCACATAGAACGTGCTCAATAAATGTGGGATGGAGGTATAGATGCTTAAGCCTGTTCACATCCATTTGTTCCCTTGGGGAATTTTATATTCCTGTGTGCAGCAGACATGTAGCCAAGTATTAAAATGACAGTCACAGCCTCACTTCTGCTGGGTGGACTTGGAGAGGTTCTATAGCCTCTCTGAGCTGCTTATTCGACTACAAAGTAAAAACTGCCTCATAGATATGTTGTAAAAATTAAATGGAAAGTGGGGAGTATTCAAACAAAAGCTCACATGCAAATGTTCACAGCACCACTATTCACAACAGCCAGAATGTGGAAGCAAGCCATCAGCTGGTGAACGGACGTATAAAAAGTGGAACATCCACACAATGGAATATTACTCAGCCATAAAATGGAGTGAAGTGACAACACATGCTGCAGCGCCACGAGAGAACCCTGAAAACATGGTGCTCAGTAAACGAAGCCAGACACAAAAGCCCAGATGCTGTGTGACTCCGCTTATATGAAACATCCAGAATAAGTAAATCCAAACAGACAGAAAGCAGATCACTGGTTGCTGGGGACTGGGGGGAGGGAGGAATGAGAAGTGACTGCTAACATGCAAGGATGAAAACAGTCTGAAACTAGAGAGTGGTGAATGTGAATGTACTAAATGTCAGCCCTGTGAATGGACTAAATGTCGCTGAGACTGACCTCTTTCAAATGGTTAAAATGGTGAATTTTATCTTCTGTATATTGGACCACAGTGATTTTTTTCTTTAATTCTTATGGGGAATGTTCAACTTAATAACCTTTCTAGAATTTCCAAAAAAATTAAATGGGAGAGAATAGATGATGTATGTACAGTTCCCAGACCTTGTGGGCATGCAATCCACGGTGGCTGTTTTCATAATGAACAGTAATTTGTTCTCCCTATAAAAACAGGCTATATCGAGTAAAGGAAAGCACCAATCTAATTTGTTCTCCAAATGTTCACAACAGTGGAATCTGTACAAGTTCAAAACATTTGACGTGGTCTGCCTTTTTACATCACGGTAAGATACACACGATACTGAGCACTGTTTTCACCATTTTAGCGTGCACGGGGCCGTGGCGTGAAGTGCACCAGTGTTGTACAGACACCACCACCACCCGCCCCCAGAACTCTTCCATCATGTCAGAGGTGTGCCATCTCATTCGGCTCCAGGTGTGTTCTGGTCCACAATGGAGCTGGGCAGAATTATCAACGTGGACTTTGCTCATCTGCAGATAAAACAGGGAGAAAACGGGAGCAGGCTGTGGCCCCGGTGGCGAGAGCGTGGGAGGCGCTGAGACATGACAGGCCCCCGGGCCCTCATGCTGCTGCTGCCCGCCCTGCTGGGCTGGGCCGGCGGCCACCCCGTCCCCGGGACGAAGAGCTTCCGCAAGCTGCTGCTCATCTCCTTCGACGGGTTCCGCTGGGACTATGACCAGGACGTGGACACCCCCAACATGGACCGCCTGGCCCAGGAGGGCGTCAAGGCCAAGTACCTCACGCCGCCCTTCGTGACCATGACCTCCCCATCCCACTTCACCACCATCTCGGGTAAGCTCTGCCCCACAGCCAGGCCACTGTGCCGGCAGAAGCCTGGTGTCCACCACTCCCTGAAACAGAGAGCTGCTTCTCTGTCACCTCTGGGGAGACTGAGGCAGCCCACGCGACTTGGGATCACTCCTTGGAAGAAGTGCTAGCTTAGCCTGCTCAGGGATGCACAGGGTTGTCTGTAGAACCCATGGCCTGCAGACAGGATGGGGACCATGGCTGCAGCCTCCAAAGGCATCTCCCCGATGCCCCAGGCCCACCCTACCCTCCACCCTGCCTTTCATATCATGGCTGGTGATCCTGTATACAGTAAATCATTAAAAGACTTTTATTGAGAACAATAAAATATTAAAGCCTAAAGTAATCAGTTAGATCAGGTAGCTCCCCTGCTGAATGCTGGTGCACTGGAGGGACATGTGTGATCTTTGAAGAGAAGTTAAATTTTGTCTTTCAAAGACCCAGAAGGTCCCCATGGCCTGACCCCTGACCCACTCTCATCTCTCTTCCCCTCACAAGCTTCCCTCCAGATCACAAAGGCCCCCTGCACGTGCCTCCAACCAGCCCTCACCTGCCTCAGGCACTTGCCCAAGCTGGTCCCTCCAGCTCACCTGGAGCACGTGGGTCAATGGGAGAGACAGACATCACCAGAGAAGTAAACACACTGACAGATGTCATTACAAGTCAGAGAGGCACCCAGATGGAAGAGGACAGCCTCTCTGGGAGAAGACAGCAAGGGCAAATGGCCTTGAAATCAGAGAGACAGGGAAGGGCTCTTGGAGGAAGGTGGCAGTTAAGCTGCCAGTGAAAGAGATGCTGGGGGATTTTTCTGGTCATTCGGTGGCTAAGACTCAGTGCTCCCAAAGCAAAAGGCCTGGCTTGAACCCCTCGTCAGGGACCTAGGTCTCACATGCTGGGACTAAGAGTTCGTATGCCGCAATTAGAGATCCCACCTGCTGCAAGGAAGATCACAGATTCCACGTGCTTCCCTGGTGGTCCAGTGGTGAAAAGTTCGCCTGCCAATGCAGGAGACGCGGGTTCAGTCCCGGGTCCAGGAAGATCCCCCAGGCGGCAGAGCAGCTAAGCCCACGCCCCACAACTGCTGAGCCTGTGCTCTAGAGGCAGGGAGCCGCAACTCCTGAGCCCACGTGCTGCCACTGCTGAAGCCCGTGCGCCCCAGAGCCCGTGTGCCACCACAATGAGAAGCCTGCGTAGCAGTGAAGACTCAGCACAGCCAAACATAAAGAAACAGAAAGAAACAGACCTCGGGAGTCCAGAGGAAGGACAGGTGTTCCAGGCAGAGGGAACAGCATGTATGAGGTCTCTGCAACAAGAAGGAATGTGATGGACCCGGAATGCCAGCTGCCACTGAGCAAGGAGACTCCGGTCTAAACGAGAGGCGGAGGAGGGGGCAGGCAGGATGCGGGCCCCCCCCCGTAACTAGACGAACAGNGGGCAGGCAGGATGCGGGCCCCCCCCCGTAACTAGACGAACAGCAGCTCCCGTTTCAAATATGAGCCTGCTGCCAGGCTCTGTGCCACAGGCTCTGCCTTGGGTATCTCCAGGACAGCACTGCAAAGCAAGTGTTGTCCCCGACCCACAGTGAGGAAACAACTCCACAAGGCTGAGTAACTGCTCAGCCACTTGGTCAGAAAGTGGGAAGGGAGAAGCCAGACGAGGGACCAGGGTGGCCCCGGACACACAGAACTGGCTCTGCTCGTTCTGAACTGGGAATCTGCAGACCCCTCTCGCAGGGCAGGGAGGGGTGCTAGTAAGGTGAAACTCACCCCCACACACACACACACAGAAAATCACTTTTTGGGGTCCAAGGGCAGCTCTGGGAACCTCTGACATGATGGGCAAACTGTTGGTGACTTTTTGCGGGGACTTCCACCCAACTCTCAAAGGGACCCTTGAATCAGAAACTCGAAAAATAAAGCTGAGCAACCACTCAGAGGGAGATTTGCTGAGAGGGATTTTCCTACATGTAAACTCTTCCAGACGCAAGTCATTTGGGAACTATTAGCACCAGGAAGCAGGAACGAAAGAGCACTTTTCTCTACTTCCCAGCGGCATTAACTTCATAATACTTAAAAGATCTCCCATGGGCAGATTCTGGGTCCCTGAGTGCTGAGAATACAAGGGGCACAAAATATTGTAAGGCATGCTCACCTTTTACTGATCCCCAGAAGGCTTCTGATGAGATGATACATACGGTGAGAGCAAATTTTTTTAAATTACAAAATCACCCCCAACACTACTGCCAGCAGGAAATGGAAACCTTACAGCTTCAATGGAGGGTAATTTAGCAACATCTCATACATTACAAACACACAAACTTTCTTATTTGGTGATTCCACTTGTAGGGCTCTATCCTACCATTACTAATTTGCTTTGTGGAAAATCATACACATACAAAGTTATTCATTACATTAGTTTGCAACAGTGAAAGAAAGTAGAAACAACCTATCCATCCAGAGGGGAGTGGCTAAATGAAATACTGGACATGCATAGAATGGCATGCTCTGTCACCTTTAAAAGAAAAACTGAGAGGGGTTTCCCTGGCGGTCCAATGGTTGGGACTCTGCACTTCCACTACAAGGGGCGCAGGTTCAATCCCTGGTCGGGGAACTAAAGATCCCACAGGCTGTGCAGCACAGCCAAAAATATTTTTCTTTTTTTTTTTAAACTAAGAAAAACAGGAAGCTTTTTGTCCCTGGTAGGAAGTTATCTCCAAAATGGATTAAGTGAAAAAAGCAAGATGCAAAGAATATGTGTAGCATGCATATTTGTATGCATATGTGTGTGTATATGTGCATATAGTTGCTTATAGATGCACAGAGAACCTCTAAAGAAATAAACAAGGAACTGGTAACACTGGTTCCTCCAGGAAGGGGACAGAGTGGAAGGGAAACTTTGGATTGTACATTCTGTGTACCTTTTAGATCTTGGACCATGTATATGTATTGCCTATAAAGTACTATAGGTCTATAGAGTGCCTATATACATAAACTCACCCCTTTATAGAAAAAAGCATGTTCTTCTGTCCTTCTTATTTATAACCAACCTGCCATTTATTGAGCTGGTCACTGCCTTAAAACAGGTTTTGAAGCCTCAGCACTATTGGCGTTTTGGACCAGATGGTTCTCTGTGGTGGGGACCATCCTATGCAGTGTGGGATGTTGGGCAGATCCCTGGTCTCCACCATCTAGGTGCCAGGAATGTCCCTTCCTTCTGTTGTGACAACCAAGAATGTCTCAGACATTGCCCAACACCCCCTGGGGGACAAATTGGCCCTCAGCTGAAAACCCCTGTCTTAAGTGACTGAACCACAACCTGGCTTACAAAAATGCTCAACAAGTACCACAATCGCCATATCCTTCGAGTCTCACAGCAGTGATGAGAAGTCAGAACAGGTGAGATATCCGAGGCCCATGAATGTACAAAGCTTTCCTGAGGTCCCGCAGCAGACATTCTGCCGAGGGGCAGAGCAGGACTTGAACTCAGCCCTGGATGGTCCCAGACACTGGACCTCACCCCCTGCCTTTAGTATGCCTACAGCCGTCTGGTGTTCTTCCTTCTAATTAAGTGGTCATCCCAAACACCTGTGAAAGTTGCACATCCTTGGAGCTCCCAGGCAGCAGGGAGCCACCCCGAATATGATGTATTAATGACACAGAGGCCACCGGGGACCCAGCAAAAGCACCAGCATTTGTCTTCGTGAGCTGGGCTCAAGCCGACCTCTGTCTGACTCCAATGTGGAAAAGCATCATCCGTAATAGAGAAAATAATGGATAAAAATTGGTGCTGCCAGCACCCGAAGACCTCTTCAGATTCCAGGGGTAGGCCTGACACAAAGTATGATGAAAGGGGCTCTCTGGGCCCAACGACTAATTAACTGGACTTCTTATGAACACCTCAGGGCCAGTTAACTCAGGAGAGGGGTGAGGAGACAATGCTGCTGTCCTGCTGCTCAGCTCAGCTGCACCAGGGGCTGCTCCCACAGGGGCTCCATGGAGCCCCAGGAGGCAAGCAACCACTCCTCCAAGCTTCCCAGACAGAGGCCAAGAGGTTAGGGGCCAGGCGGTCCCAGGCAGGGAGCACACGGCAGGGAGAGGCCGTGGCCCAGGCATAAGACGTAGCTGACTTGGCTGGTGAGGTCAGAACTCTGAGCAGCAGGGCCTCCTCGTGCCTGGGGGCTGTCAGATGTGCGGTATCTGGGCCCTCATCCCAGACTTAGGATCCCTCATTAGTTGTCCTGATGCTGGTAAAGAAAGTCTTGGAGAGTTTGTTAGGACTGTGTTCATCCTTTCAACTGACAAATACTGTTGGAGCATCCCTGTGGAGCCGGGCGGTGTAGATGGCGGCCAGCTTCCCACTAACGGGTCTCCAGGGTCTGGCCATCTTTGTAGGGCTTGACACACAGCCTCGGGCTCCCGCCCACTCTGCTCCCAGACCCCACACATCTTTTGGGAGGTTTCGCTTCCTTCTCGCTGCCACTCCACCAGGGTCAAGGACAAGGAGCCCCTTCCTTGGCGATCTTTCTGCCTCTGGGCTTCCTTTCTCGGGGAATCAGACGGGAGAGATTTGTTCTTACTCCCGTGTGTCCCCCCCAAACCTTTCTCTACACCCCAACTCCTCTGTGGCTCCCATAAGAGGCTTAGTATGTGAAACCCCAAAGCCAAAAGCAGTCTCTGATTTCTCCACTTTCTCCCATGGGGTCCTTTCCTCGGGACATGGAAACAGAAATCCTGACTGCTTGAATGAAGGAAAGACTAAAGGAAAGAAGTTGTTTTTGTTTTTTTTTAATATTTATTTGACTGGGTCGGGTCTCAGTTGAAGCACATGGAATCTTTGATTCTCACTGAGGCATGCAGGATGTTTTGTGGCAGCATGCGAACTCTTGGATACGGCATGCGGGCCCTAGTTCCCTAACCAGGGATTGAACTCAGGCCCCCTGAGCTGGGTGCATGGAGCCTTAGGCACTAGACCACCAGGAAAGTCCC